TACGGAGCCGAGCCTACAGTCAGTTAACCAGACGTTTGAGGCTATTCCACCCAAATGTAATCCGCTATCACAAGAAGGTCATGATTCTCATTTTCAAAGTTATTTGATAAAACTAAATAAATTTTTACTAAATCAGAAAAAAAAAACACCAGAAAACTTTATAATATTTGTAATTTAATGCGTAATAACTAGTAATAATTTTTTCAAAAAAAATAGTTATTTAAAAAAATACCGGATAAAGTTATTTGTATTGCGTTAGTATCTTGATAAAAACCCATACTAATTTTTCTTACAAATCTATAAAAAACTTGAAAAGCGTTATTGTTTTTTAAACATTTATCTTCAACACAATTTTCTGGCTTGTGGATAAAATATACAGTTTTTAAAGAGTATTCGAGACAAAGCTTTAATGAAAGAATAGAAAAATAATTTTAAAATCTCTTATCGCTTAAGAAGCAAACCACTAAAACATAGTTGCTAAGAAATAATATAAAAATAATATATATATATTTGTAAATGATAGTGATTATATATTGTAAAATTACTATAGTTGCATCTTCCTAAATGTAAACATAAGCACGTTTTATATAATTTAATTTAAATATATGTTTGAAATTCACACGAACGGTTTACTAATGAATTCTTTCGAATCATATAACTTGCTCGTGTACATGTCTTGTGAATGCGTTTGGTTACTCAGTTCTGGTTTAATTTCATTAGCTTCCGAAATTTGTTTTTTGATTTCATTATCATCTTCCTGATTTATTTCATCTAACCAACGTGAGATTATTTCAATAATTTCTTTTGCGGTAGGTCGTTTATCAAAATCTTTATTCATGCATTTCATAGCTAATTCAATATAACAATCTGGACCTAAACATTTAGGTCTTAATCCACCGGTGATACTTGATATAAGATGATCATCAAATGGAATTCCATCAAATGCTCTTTGTCCGGTTGAAATCTCAGTCGCGATAACTCCAAGACTATAAATATCTGATGCTAGAGTATACGGCTGACCCACCAAAACTTCTGGTGCTATATATGGCAGAATTCCACAAATTTTTCCTTCCTTCACTTTTATAGAAAGTCCAAGATCAGTAATATATACATCACGAAGATTATCTCCTTGCAAAATGTTTCCGCTATGTAAATCTCGGTGAACGAGTTCCTGCGAATGAATTGCCTCGAGATCCAAAGCTATACTATATAAAATATCCAATTTATTGCACCATTCTAATTGTGATACTTCCACAAGATTTTGTCGTAATGAACCGTTTGGTGCAATCTCCATAACAATAATATAATCACCAGAATGATTTCTTGATACTCCAAAACAATTCGAGAATGAAGGACTCTTGTAACCAATTTCGCAGTAATTCTTCAATTCCTGGACAAATTCTTGCACATTTTTGTTTGAATCACGAATCACTTTAAGTGCAACATCACACCATACTTCATTAATTTTATCGTACCAAGTTGCACTATATACAGTTGCGAATGCTCCTTTTCCCAATTCTTCAATATCCTTGAACTCAACATAACCAATCCAAGATAATTTAAATCTATCATCGTCTAATATACTCTTAAGTTCAGGATTGATATGATCGGGTGATTTATTAGTTTTCAAAAAACTTTTATATTTTGTGAACCAATAATTTGCTTTTTGAATATCTCTCTTCGTACCAATACCATTTCGATAACATTGAGCAACATTAATCATTGCTACTCTATAACCCATATTAGCAGATTTTTCATAGTATTCAAATGCTTTATTATAATCTATATCAACCCCATCTCCGTATGTATAATGATTACCAACATTACTTATTCCAATAGCATTACCCAAATCAGCCGATTTCTTATCATATTCAAATGCTTTTTCGTAATCTATTTCTACTCCAATTCCATAAAAATAACAGTTACTGACACTAATCATCGCACCCGCATTTTCTAATTCAGCCGCTTTCATATAATATTCGAAAGCCTTCGTTTCGTCTTTCTCAACACCATTACCATGTTCATAATTGTAACCAAGTGTACAAAGATGTTCAGATTCCATTTTTTTTAAAGGATTAAAAAATATCGTGTACGTACGAACTAAATAAGATTGCCGTGACAAGATATTTAATATTTAGTTAAAGTAATACAAAAGTTCCGACAATAGTTAGATTTTTGATTTGCTCATTACTGCTTTAGTTGACTTACATTGTTTACCAAAAACATAATTTTTAAAAATTTTTACGCCTATCCACATGCATATTGGTATTTTTAGCGTAACAAAAATAAACCAAAATATACTTACTTTGTTAGTAGCGATTAATGCCGGCCCAATTTTCGATGCATTTGTCCGAAACTTTAAGGTGACTTTAAAAATCTATATCATAGGATAATATACTTGCTGAAATTTATTGATAAAAAATAGGTGATGTCATAAAAAATTACAACAAAATTCTGTTACACGTAATGAATAATAATGCTTCGTAAATGTCACCAATTTACTGTATTTTATTTACAGAAAGATGTTAAAGTCTTAATATCGATTTCAATGCTCTGAACTTTATTACATAAAAAATATATCTAGCATTGGGTACATACGACCAAAAATTTTCATTACGTCAAACAAAGAACTTTTTTTATAAACATCATGTAGAATGTACGAAAGAAAAAAAATTTTATTGATTCATTCATTCTAATTTTATGGTCAGTCATGGTCAAGCGAATTAAATGTGACGGATTAAAATGAAATCGGGTTAAAATGAAATTGTACAATGTAAAAAATAGACTAGCCACCGAAAAATAAAAATTTTTGAGGTGCATTTTTTAGGGTTAAGGGTTAGAGTTGGGGGTTAGTTTTAGAGTAGAGTTTATAATAAACAAGTACGTATAAGTTGGTTTTACAGGGTTAAATAGAAACCCTCATTTCATTTAATAGTAAATTTATTTGATATAAAAGAGAAAGTAGCTAATAAATTCTTGAGATTAGAATGTTATTTAAAAGTTAAAGTAGATGAAAAGAGAAAAATTTTATGGCACGTTAGAAGACTTGATTTTATCATCTTGACTACAACCCCTCAGGTTGATATCCATAAAGTCTGTATCTTCGTCAGGTGAAAATCCTTCATTTATGCTTAGACCATTAGCTTTTGCAAATACCTGAAAAGCATTTTGAATTGGCCCATCCTTTTTTAACATGTTTATCGATTAATAGAATTTCCATGATAACAATTAAAATAAAAAATATGCTAATTTATATTACCTTTTCTGGATCACGTGCAAATATGCGAACAATCGTTTCTTCATATTGTTTAGGAAAAAGATAGCTAATCCTCTCAGGCTTAAGGCTAAATATCTTATTAGGATCTTTATTGTAAAATTTAATGTGTTCCACAGGATTCTTTTCTCCTTTTGCATAATTCAAATCTTGCCAATCAACTATTATATCTTCCTTACTCAAAGATATATCATTACCTCTGCGATGGCTAGCAATTTCAAACTCGAGATCTTTCTAATAAAAAATAGCAATAACATTATGAATATGAAAGGGTTTTATGAAAAAATCTTGTTACAAAACAAGTAAGAAAGTTACTTTAGCAAGGTCTTCTTTCTTATCTTGTGGAACTAAGCACTCGTTAACAAACTTGTATAATTTCCTCTTCCTAATTCGCTCAATGATTTCTTGTGATTTTTTCAATTCCTATAAGCGATTTATTGAATATTATTAAGTAATTACCGTAATTAATAATAAAATTATATATCAATACCTCTCTATCTGTATCTGGATATTCTATTTTATATAAAATAGAATCATTCAATTTGATATATTCTTCAGGAACATTGATTATTTTTTGAAATTGGTATACTGAATTTGCTTCTACAAGTGCGTCTCTTATCATAAAATTAATTGCTCTGGCTAGCATTAATATTAGTCAATAATTGGTAAATTATAATTAAATAAAAACAACAAAATTTGACTGACAACATACTAACGCGATGATTATATATTCTCTTGTGCAAAGAATATCGCGTGTGGAACATTTCATAAATGTTAATGCTTTCCTTATGATGGTAAACTATTTGATCTTCAGTAACGTAAGAAAGTCTCATTAATCGTGGAGAATCAAATAATGATTTCATTCCCAAATAATAACAATCTCGTGCGAGATAATCAAATTTATCAACGTCAACAGAATTTCGTTTATTGGAGACAATATCAAATAGGTACGGGGATCTTTCACTTATGTGAAACAACAATACATTATTAATAGATTAAATTTATGCAAATACTCAAGTAAAAAGAAAACTCACGTTCGATCACCTTTAATAAGACCCTTAATAAATTTCAAATCATTTTCGTTTAAATCAATAGAATGCAATTCCATATTATCATAAAGATAATCGAACATCATTTCGGATCCCTTTTCATGCTTCCATTCAATATCAAGTCTGTAGTTGCATATAGCTTTGTGTGATTTAAGTATACGTATTAACATCATGTTACCGTATTTTCGCATAATATCGCTCATGAGTGTTATTTAGAATTAAGCTTAATTTGTACCAAAATTTGAAATTACTCCCGCGCGTTATTTCACGAAAATACGGTATTTTTTCTTAAGCATACCCTAATCCTGGAATAACATCGTTATCAAACACATGGCTAAATGGTCCGTGTCCTGTTTAATGAATATAAATAATGATTATTATTTTGTTCTGTGAACTTAATTTTTATTACCGAATTTAAGCTTACCCAAATCGTGACACAAGGCAGCCAAAGTTACACATTCAAGGTCTTTTTCAACTCTTTCAACACCTGGTTGCTCAAGTAATTTTTTGGTTAAGGTATAAGCAAGGTGTGCAGTTCCTAGAACGATTTTACCTTTTAGTTTTTTCATTTCTGTACTATAAAATGAATGTATCTTATTTTTACCTAAACTGTGTTCAAAACGATTGTGACAAGCGCCTGGAAAAACAAAATAACTAGCGCCTAATTGCTTAATATCTCGCAATCTTTGGAATGCCTTTGTATCTATAAATTCTACTGCCCACTTTTTAAATGTCATATATCCCTATTAAAGAACCTATGTTAAATCAAACTAATGATTGATTAAACTTTTTTATATTTCCTATAATAAATCTTACATGGATAGGATCATTTATAAGCTTCTCTTCCTCTTGAGACATTTTAAATAATAACGTTTAAAAATTTAAGCTTGATGAACTATCTGTACATATTGTACATAGACATATGTAAGCATGTTTATACATATGTTTATTGTTCATTCAATGCTGCAATGTATTTATGTACGTATTATACAGGAAATCTAAAAAACTCAACCCACTTGTATAGAAATAATACGCAAGAAGCTAAATTCAACTGTATCTGGTGGAGATAAACCAAATTCAACTGTATCTAGGGGAGATAAGCCAAATTTACCGCCCTTAATAACTACTAAGTAATCACAATCATGAATGGTCGGTATTAAAGGATAAATAAAGTTTGTTTGTGTTGGAAAAGTAGTGAAACAAAACAAGATCGTAAATTCATTATGTGAATAAAAAATAAATTCATTTACCGCTTTTTTACTTTATTATACGTAGCAATAGTAATACGCACAGAAAGAATATCTATATATGTTCAGCGGTTAGCCAGAAGTGGAAATGTTGAGAAGGGGCATGTGAAAATAGGTATTTTAGATCGACAACTTGAATTACAAATTTATTTACAAAACAAGGTCTCACTAAATACGTCCAATGATGAATTTAACTACAGTAGTTTAAATCCATAACTAAAATTAAAAACCAATTGATTCTATTTTCTACCAGGAATGCTACCCGAAATATATCACTTTGGTGAAGATTTTCTCAACGGTCCAATCTCTAATGAGATCGGTAATTAAAATTGAAGCGTGTGTAACGTACAACTACAATACACAGGGTCTTATTCAAAAACTTCATTGTTACTATATTTGGTAGGATATTATTTGTATGCAATTGTTACGGAGTTAATTGCAAAATTTACAATTTATATGGTCGAAATGGAGAATTTGTGTGATAAGACAACTCGCCAGAAGCGACACTATGGTGATTTGGTCATATAAATAAAGAAAATTATCATAAGTCAGTGGTCTAATGTGCCCCTCCCTCGCACATAAATGTCGTAACCATACCAAAGTTACGTCCTTTAAATAACTTTAAAAACTAATTTCCGCAGTTATACGCACCTCAGATCCGGAATGATTCTTTCTGGTTTCCATGAACTAATTCTATGTCATTCATCATGTCATACATCGTCTAAGTTTTCGGTATTCAGGCGCAGTTAGCTGTAGTTTTGAATGTTACTTTTTACTCGTGACAATAAGAATTATAACGATAATTTATATAAATTAAGTGAGAAGAAAACTTTATCTCTGTAATATAATGGTAATTAGATATTAAAAATTTTTATAACTAAGAAAATTACCTCTTAAATACATGTCACATAAACATTTTTATATAATTTTTTTATAATTTTACAAGAATTCAATAATAAAGATGTTTAAATTAAATTATATGCATTTGAGAATTAAATTTAAATTTGAGAATTTGCTTGAAATCTTTTTAGTACTAATCGATTTACTAATATATTCTGAAATTTTTTCGTATCATATAGCTTACTAGTATACATATCACGAGAATGTATTTGTTTAATCGGTTTTGGTTTAATCTTATTGGCTCTTGTAAAGTGTTTCTGATTTTCATTATCCTCTTCTTGATCTATTTCATCTAACAAACGAGTGATTATTTCAATAATTTCAGTCGCAGTAGGGTCGTTTACCAAAATCCTTATACAAATATTTTCATAATTAATTGAAAAATGTGGCAGATTAAAATGAAATCGGATTAAAATGAAATTTTTCTATTTTTTTAGGAAAATTTAAAATTTTGGGGACATTTTTTAGGGCTAGGGTTAGTGTTAGGGTTAGGGTTTAGAGTTAGTTTTATTAATGAAAGAGTATAAGTGGGTTTTATAAGCTTTAAAGATGAGCAAGAAAGGTCCCCAGTTTCATTTTAATCCGATTTCATGATCTGCGACAATTAATATATTGTATGAAGATGTAAAAATCACTACTACAAATTATATGATTCGCTAGCACTCTTATTTTCCATTGCGGGTATTTCCGGTTAAAATAAGGGCAATCCGGGTCATCATATAACCGGGAGTTTACCTATAACACTTTTGAGGGTAGGGTGTCTGTAAACATTTTTCATAGTGATCATGTGGTAAATCATATGAAATCATGTGATTAACAGAGACAAATTTTTGCGGACAGTCTACGGGCAGTAAAACATTCATTTTTGATACTCATGTACGTAGATGATTTTCTAAGCCAATCGATAATCCGCATGAAAATTTAGAACATACATTATTGTACGGAAATGGAAAATGTTTACTCGATTGAACTATTTTAGTTTAAACGCATAATTTATATTTTTATCTGCACACATACTGATCAATGAGATTTAAGAAAGCAACACACTACGTCAGTTTACATAAAACTCCCAATTTCTGATATGTACAATAAGCTTCAATTATTACTTATCTGGTAAATATTTTCGATGCGTGAGAACAAGATTTAAAGCTTAGTTCGAGTCACATTCGTCTATGATTTGGTAATAAACTATATATCGTTTACTCAATAAATGTATGTAAAATTTGTATTGATTATTTATTTAGAATATTCAAACAATAATAACTAGATTAACGTGTAGCATCGTATCAGGTATGTCCAAAGGTTATGTTATAGAAGCGTGAGCTTGTTTTTTGTTACACTAAGGTAGCTAATAATTTAGCCAAAATTGAGGCATTAAAAATGTGGTTTTTTATCACTTGGCAAAACATTGAATGTTCTCTGCTATGCTCCTGACAACAGTAATCTAATATATTAAATACAACAGTTGCTTTTTTCCAGATCAGTCCAAATAACGAAAAACTCACGATAGGAAAAAGAAACCAATTTACGTACTGTTCCTAAAAAGAGCTTCTAATATTACACAACTATAAGCGATGTATATGATAAAATCAGGATCGGTTCAATTTTAGGACCCTATCATTATAATTATAATTTTTATAATAATTAAATATAAAATATTAATAAATTAATTTTTTTCAATAAATAATAATAGCAAATTCAGTAGTAATAGTAATACTGTACCAATAAACCACATGAGTTTGCGATATCAAATTTATGTTCAACTTTTTGATTTTGGTTATGATGACATTTGCAATCGTTAGCGTTTGGTGTTACGCTAAATTACTTATTTGGGTAATTTCGGTTGTATTGATATTTAATTTAGGTAATTGATCTTCCTCGAATTTGCTTTCTTTTTTTTGAGTTTCATAAATTTCAATAAATCCCGCTGAATCAGCTAGGATCACCCCGGAAGTTCGGGTGATGACTACATACATATCATTGTTAGGTGACAATTTGAAAGTGTCCCAAGGGTTAATGGTTAATACAATAATAAAAAAATATGCTGCAGCAATTTTGTGGATCATCACCCGAACGTCCGGGTGCTTCTGGTTGATTTAATTGCTATATCTAATACGCAATAGCTGTGCATCGAAACATTGCGCTAGCTAAATTGCGCTCAAAAATTTTCGCTTATCGAACAGTAGTCATATATATATAAATAATACCAAATAAAATTTATTACATACATCTATTATTAAAACAGAAAATAATCGCTTAACTTTTCTAGGAAAATTCTTATCGGATCAAAACAAACTTTTTCCATTATTGTCTTTCTATTTTTAATTTATTTTTTAAAATTCTCACACTCCTCAATTAATTGAGAAAACCCAATTTTTGAATAAGATCTCTTGATATTATTAGTTATTATTAGTTATAGAGATAATTGCTAGCGTTTGGTGTTACGCTGAATTATCAAGTTAGCTACTTTTGGTGATTTTTGGTTTCACAAATTTCAACCGATTGTAAGATACTCTATTTTGCAGCGCTTCGAAGCACTGCGCTACGCTAGCAAAAAGCGCTCAAAATTTTCGCTTGTCGAACAGCTATATGTAATGACAGTAAATATGTAATAAATTTATTTATCATTCTTAGATCAAGATTCACTAATATTAAGCTTTATACTTTCTTTCATTAGTGGAA